TAGAACCAAATAATATGAGACCTTTTATGTTTGGCTTCTTCCACTCATAGGACAGCATCCCATGCTTGAGGTTTGTATGTGTAGCAGATATCAGAATGTCCTTCCCTTTTACCACTGAGTACTATCCTATCATATGGATGGATCATGGTTTTTTTTACCTACCTGTCCTTGTGCAGCCGAGGTTGAGAACCACTGGCCTAACCTTGTATGGCCTCACCTTCAAATGGGAATAATAATATTTACTTTGCCAGGATGTGGTGGCCTTTAATGGGAGGTACATGGATGGGTCAACCATCAGTAAGAAAAATGGTGCCTGGGCTCTTTGGGCTCCCCAGGAAGAGGTGAAAAGTATGTCTATTCTTGTGGCCTCTTGAGCCATTTTTTTAAGAAGACTTAGTTATTTTAGAGAGAGAGAGAACATGAACAGGGGGAGGGGTAGAGGGAGAGGGAGAAGCAGACTCCCAACTGAGCTCAAAACCTGCCATTAGGCTCAATTCCATGACCCATGATATCATGACCTGAGCCAAAATCAAGAGTCAGTTGCTTAACTGACTGAACCATCCAGGTGCCCCACTTTTGAGCCATATCACCTCATGGTACCTGTAGGGTTGGTAGTAGTGTCTCTTTTTATATACAAGGAAGCTGCAGTCCAGAGAAGGGAAGTAATTTCCCCCAGGTCTCCAAGCACCTAAGTAACTCTGCAGAGATTTTCCATGCAGCTATGCCCAGCTCCAAAGCCCTGACTTCATCTGTTCAGAATGGAATTCAGCCTCTGTCCTTGCCTCCCTGCTGGCATGGACTCTGGATCCTGACTCTGTATGGGGAGCTCTCCATGTGGAGTTGCCCTCCCCTTCCCTCACAAATGCCATGGCCCCGTGGTTATCTAAGCAGGAGGGTTGGCCACAGAATGGTGATTCTGTTCTTCAGATAGGAGGCAGAAAGGCCCACTTCCCTCCTTTAGTTTAACTAGTAACAGCCTCCTGGAAATATCAACTCTTTGGAGAGGAACTTCCCAAAATCTTGAAGGCTGCTCCTTTCCTGTCATCTCTGTTCTAGAACATTCTAAATTTTATCTATACGCTTCATCTGTTAAAAATGAGTCCCTTATATCTCTACTGGGAAATGGATAAACAAGCTATTGTACATCCAGACAACAGAATAGGGCTCAGCAGTAAAAAGGAAGGAGCCATCAGAACACAGTGACAACACGGGTGGACCTCACATGCATGATGCCCAGTGAAAAAAGCCAAACTCAAGAGGCTATGCAGGGAAAAAAAAGAGAGAGAGAGAGGATGGAAGGACTGAAAATAATCGCCAAGAAAGTAATGTGTGATTTAGGAAGGCCCATTTTCTCTTTGTATAAAACAAGTTTATCTTAGATGCATTTTATTTTATTTTTTTTTTAAGATTTTATTTATTCATTTGACAGAGAGAGACAGCAAGAGAGGGAACACAAGCAGAGTGGAACTGGAGAGGGAGAAGCAGGTTTCCTGCTGAGCAGGGAGCCCGATGCGGGGCTCCACCCCAGGACCCCCAGATCATGACCTAACCGAAGGCAGATGCTTAACTGACTGAGCCACCCAGGTGCCCCCGTAGATGTATTTTAAATAGAACTAAGTAAATCCCTGCTTGGCATTCAGAGCCATTTCTTCCCACCTGAAAGCACTTTGACTTTATAAAATAAATTCTTTTTAGACATTAAAAAAAAACCCCAAAAAACAAAACCACAGCAGGCCAACCCTGCGATGGCATTTACATATGGAAAGACAAAGCTGTAGGGGCAGAGAACAGGGTGGTGGTTCTGCGCTTGGGGAGGGGTAATCAGGGACCCTGTGTGTGTGGGTGTTTGGGGAGGATGAAGGATCTCTTATTAATCTTGATTGTGGTGGTGGTGACATCAGTCTCCATTTGCCTGAGCTCATAAAACTGGGTAGCAAAAAAGGGCAAGAAATTATACTGTATGTAAATGCAAAGGAAAAGTGACAACCTAAATAAAACAATTCATTGTTCTCTTAAGAAATGTCTGCCTAGAGGCTCTGAAGGAAGAAAGTAGGCCACAAGGAGGTAAAGAAAACGTTCTTGGTTCTGGAGGGTTGTGGGAACTCTCTTTCTTGGGCGTTTGCCCCGGGGCACTGGGCCCTTGTCTCCCAGCCTTTTTCTCTGCCCGCCTTTCTCCTGTTCAGTGGCTGGAGCACGGGGCAGAGACAAGGAGGGTTTTGTGGAACCCAGAAACAAATAAAGAGCTACCCATCGTGGGTCGCCACAGCAACGCGATGTCGCCCTTGAACCCGTGTGGCTGGCACCGTGGGTAGCTTACTGGTGTTTGTTAAGGGAGCAGAGGAGAGAGTGGCCGGGCCGTGCCTGGTGGGAGGTGGACAAGTGCTCCCTCAGCCCCAGACTCGGTTTCCCACCTTGGAGAAAGACGTCGGCCATGTCCCTGTACAGTTGGCCTCTGCCCGCCCTCAGCCTCGTTGGCACAGCCCTCTTGGGGGCTTTTGGGCGGGATCTATCAAAATGAACACTGTGCCTACCTGTGTTAGTGTCTCTAGGGCTATAGTACAAATGGCCATACACTTGGTGACTGAACACAGATTTGGTCTCCCATCTCCGGAGGCCGGAAGTGCAACACCAAGGTGTCGACGGGTCTGACTCCTTCCCGAGGCCCTGAAGGAGAGGCGTCTGTGCCGGTCTCCCAGCCTCTGGCGGTTTCAGCAGCCCTCTGTGGTCACATCACTGGGATCAGTGTCTCCATTGTCTCGTGGGCTTCAGCTCTGTGGTTCTTTCCCCATAAATACCCTAGTCATAGCAGATTAGGGGCTCACCCTCCTCCGGTGGGACCTTAACTGAGGACACCTGCAGCAGCTGTGTTTCCAGATGAGGTCACTTTCTGAGGTCCTTGGGGGTTAGGACCTCCATCCATATAGGAATTTTGGGAAGAAACCATTCAGCCTGTAACACTGCCCCATACACACTGGGCTGCTTGCCACCCTGCTCTGCACACTCCTGTCTACTTCTCCATGGGCCAGCACCCTTCCTTCTCCTACCTGTCTTTTTGTCTGGTAAACTCACTTATCCCTCGATATCTGTCAGCCAGTGCCCGCTGTGGAGCTGGGTACTGTGCGGGTGTGCCCGTGCCTTGGGGAGCCTGTGCCCTCTTGGAGGCCTTCACACTCTGCTGTGTCCCTCCTCTCAACTCCAGCCAGCATGAAGTAGGAGCTCCCGAGTGTTTCCTGAAAGGATGGGGAGCACGAATCACATGGTATTGGGATTTCTGCTTGGATCTGGTGCCTTCTGGATTGTGAGCTTCTTGAGGGCAAGGCCGGGTCACCCCAACCCACTGTCCCTAGATCTGAGTGTAAAACCAGCATACAGAAGGTGCTTAACAAATGTTCTATGAGTTGTGTGGCACTGATCTGGCATAGAGTTATTGACAAATCCTCAGTGAAGTATGTTTAACATGGATTCAGCATACAGGAGGTGCTCCATAAATGCATTGTGAACTTCATTGGCACAGATCCAACACATAGAAGGTGCTCCATAAATGCTCTGTGATCTGTCATGATGTGGTGCCAGCACCCAAAAGCTCAGGATATGCTCGGAGACCTGCACCAGGCTGGGACTCAGCAGACAGAAGGTGCTCCGTAAATGCTCTGTGAACTCTACCGCGCTGAGCCCTTTGTTCTGAGCCACATGCCTGTCCCTTATGTCTGTGGGTCTTCAGAGTAATTACTGGGATCCTGGGGGGAAGTGTTTGATGTCGCAGTGGAATTTAACTCCATTGGGGGGATGACGGTCAGCAGAGTCCAAGGGGAACAGGTGAACGGCCCATTTCCCTGATCCTGAGCCTATGTGGTCCAGGGAGGGAACCAGGTGCTTGCAGACCTCACCCCCCAGCTCTCTGATGCCCTTTCCCGACCCTGCCGGGTGACCTTCCCAGCTTGACTTGAATCCCCCACAGCCACGCACAGAGTCACGCCAGCCTGGCCCAGCACTAAGTGTGTCCCACCTGGGGGTGGGGGCAACATTCCTACACTCTGTGCTCTAGCCTCCCCTCTGCAAAATGGGTGGGGCGGAGTTTCCCTCCAAGCTCCACTGTGGTCAAAGGAGAGACTAGAGGGGGCCCCAGGAATGCCTACTGCTCCAGATAAAGCCTACTGGCAGTTCCACGTGTGGACCTACGTCCGGCAGCAATGAGTGCAATGGTCATGAAAGAAGTGTGTGCAGATGCTTATGGACAGGGTTCTCCGTGGTGGCCCCAGATCAGACTGTCCACCTCTGGGAGAGCAGATAACATAAATAGTGTCTGGAATTCTCTATGGCGATGAAAACAGCCGATCTCTGCGTCCGACAATATGAATGAATCTCGTCAAAGTCACGTGGGACCCAAGAAGCCAGACAAAGAAGGATTTGTGCTGTGTGATCCCATTGATGGGAAGTTCAAGAACGGGCCAAACTAATCAATGATGACAGTGTCACAAGTGGTTTCCCTCGAGGGAAGAGTCACTGGGAGGGGCCCTAAGGGCCCTTTCTGGGGGCGCGGGCCATGAGCTTGGGCTCCTCCTGAGTGGCTGTGGTTATGCGGGTGGGGGCACAAGTGAGACCCCATCAGGCTGTACCCGCAGGGAGCCCTGCTCTATGTCGGTGAGACAGAGGGAAAGGAGAAACAGGAAGTGAAGAGAATTTTGTATTTAGCAAAGTTTGGTAGCGAATACCACATTGGGGATCAGGCACTAAATACTGGCCAGTTCAAAAAAAGTGTAACATAAAGAAGGGGGAGAGGGAGGTGAGGAGAAGATGGGAGGGGGGCTTGGGAGGAGGGGGATGGGAGGAGGAGGGGGAGGAATGGAGGAGGGAATGGGGAGGAGACGGTGGAAGGGGAGGGGAGGGATCCTCTTTTCCCACCAGGAGGGACCCCAACTTCAGGTCTCCTGGGAATCCTGGGACCACAGCTGCTCCCGGCTTCCTGGCCCAGCTTCTGGGAATGATGCCTCTCTTTCCAGGTTCATGAACCACCGAGTCCCCGCCCACAAGAGGTACCAGCCCACCGAGTACGAGCATGCGGCCAACTGTGCCACCCACGCTGTGAGTTGGCTTTTGGGGGGGACTGAGAGCGGGGGACACTTTCAGGTGGGAGGGGAGTAGGCTCTTCACCCTTGGAGAGAGTCAACATCTCTTCCGCAGCAACGTCCCAACTGACGGCAAGTCCTCTGTGGCCCTTGGAAGAGTGAGTGGGATCTGGAGGGAAGGCCATTTGGGTACATTGGACTGTAGTACTGAGCGTGCCTCTCTTTTGCTCTGTGAACCTTCCTGGCTCCCTGGTTTCTGCACAGCATCTGGACCCTGTAGGAAGCTTGCAGCAAGTGTTAGCTCCTAAGTCGGCCGGCTTCCCCACTGCCACACACTTCTCCCAGGTTCCAGCGCCTGAAGGTGCTGTTTCCTGGGTAGAAGGTACACTTCCAGGCCTTGGCATATGCCGTTCCCTCTGCCTGGAGTACTTGTCTTGTCTAAGAAATCCTTCTCTGGGCAGTGGACCCCTTTGGAAATAATGCAAACTCCAGACCCACGTTGTCCGGTTTGGTAGCCGCTGGCCCCGGAGTGGCTATCGTGTCCTTGAAATGCAGCTCATCCCTTGGAGGTGTGCTGGGAGCGTGACCTCCATGCCCACTTGGGAAGACATGGCAGGGAAAACGGGATGTAAAATATCTCCTTAATATGTTTGTGTATAGTACACAGTATTTTGGATATGCTGGGCTGAACACAATATAGTATTCACGTTCATTTCACCTGTTTGTTTCTCTCTTTAAAAACACGGGTCCCAGAACATCCAAGATGACCTGGGCGACTCACGTTACAGTTCTGTTGGCTGGGGCTGCCGTAGACCATTTCTCCTGAAAAGGTGCTCCTGACAGGCAGAACTGGGCACACTTTCGGGGCGGGGGGTGGTCCCTGAAAGTGCTTTGGAGAGTTCTAGACTTCTCCAGGGAAATGATGGGTTAACCAAGGTGTGAAGAGAGAAGGGTTCTCCAGGTGGGCCTGGTGGGGAGGGCTACTTTTTCCAGAAGGTGCTAACTACATGGGCAACCACACAGGTGTGGGGCGGCGTGGCGTGCCCAGGGACCGCAAGGCTGATGACCGGCGATGCTCCTTGAGGCGGAGAGCCTTCGTGTTTTCCACGACCTTCTCTAGAGCTGTGCTGCCCAATATGGTAGCCACGGGCTCCGTGGGGTGGCTGAAATTGAGACTAAAATCAATGAAAATGAAATAAAATTAAAAACTTCACGTTATTGGCAAGTCACGACTCAGGTGCTTGGCGGTCAGGGGCCCAGTGGATCCTGCGCTGGATGGTGCTGGTCTGGGACCTTCCCACCAGGGACGGAGGTTCTGTTGGACGGTGGGAGTCTGGAGGAGAGGGTGGGCAGGTGCTTGGGGAAGCGCAGGGACTGCGTACCTCCCCGCTCCCCACGTCCAAGCCTGGCCTTGCAGCACCCGTCCCATCTCTGCTTTCAGCTCTGGATCATTCCCAGCATCCTCGGCAGCTCCAACCTCTACTTCCTGTCCGACGACAACTGGGAGACCATCTCCGCCTGGGTCTACGGGCTCGGCCTCTGTGGGCTCTTCGTGGTGTCCACCGTGTTCCACACCATCTCCTGGAAGAAGAGCCATCTCAGGTGCCTCTGCCTAGTCCACGGGAGGGACGTGGGCTGGGCAGGTGACCGGGGTGGGTGGGGGGGTCGTGTCTAGCTGAACCCAGAGGGGTCTGGGGCGGTGACTGTCACACTGTCTTTGCCTCAGCTGGCCACCCGGGATTGCGTCCCAGCTGGGCAGACCACCTCACCCTCCATGAGCCTCGTTTGCTCACCCCCAAGAAGCCCGGAGAGCAAGCCCCCAACTCCCAGTATTGTTATGAGGGAACCTCCTAACTGTCAGAACCGTCAGAATGACCTCCCCCTTCTGGGTACCCCCGCCCCCGCCACCGCCCTGCGTCCAGGCCTCGCATACAGACATCACCCGTAATCTTTTCAATAATTCTGCGGTCTAGGCATTGTCTCAGATTTTTAAATTTTTGCTTTGCTTTCCATTTTTCAAAACACTGGGGCAAATACCCATAACATAAATGGACTCTTCGCCAGTCTGAAGCGTCCAATTCAGGGGCTTTAAACACATTCACACTGTGGCGCCAACACCACCACCCAACTCCAGAACTTTCTTCCTCTTCCTGAATGGAAGCTTTGTCCCTTTTTTTGCAGTGACCCCTCATCTCCAGCTTCAGCGGCCCCCTCCTCCCCAGGAGCCCCGTGACTCTGCTCTAGCCCCCATTCCTGTTTCCCGTTCTTGCCTTCTCTGTGGGTCTCGGTCCTGCCCCACTGTATGAGATTCTTGTGGCTGCTGGAACAAAAGACCATGGATGGGGCCGCTGGAAACAACAGAATTCATTCTCTTGTAGTTTAGGAGGCCAGAAGGCCGAGATCCAGGCGTTGGTGGGGCCATGCGCCCTCTAAAGTCTCTACGGGAAAATCCCGCCTCTTCCACCTTCTGGTGGCCCCCGTGTTCCTAGACTTCCGGCTGTCACTCCCGGCTGCCCGTGTCTTCGCACAGCCTTCTTCCCTGTGTGTCTCTTTGTCCAAATTTCCCTCCCCTTTTTCTCACTAAGAAACCAGTCATTGGGTTTAATGCCCGCTTAACCCCCGGTGGGACTGTGCTGGCCCTTCCTGTCCTCACCCGTCACACAGCAGGTGAAAAAAACAGCACTTGTCTTCCAGGTGGGATTAAAAAATTAATGCTCGTAAATACGCTTAGACCAGTGATGTGCTTATAGCCACGCTGCATGCATCACGCTAGTTGCTGTTATCACTTTCAGTTCTAGGAGGACATGCGATGAAACCACACGCAGGATCCCCAGTCTGTTTCACCGAGGGCTGCAGTTTTCTGGGCAGAATCAGTTTATAGTAGTTATCTGTGGCTCTGTAACACGTTACCCCTCCGTCACAGAGGTTTTATTTATTTTTAAAGATTTTATTTATTTGTTTACTGGGTGAGTAAGAGCGAGAGAGCACAGGCCAGGGGGAGGGGCAGAGAGAGAGGGAGAAGCAGGCTCCCCGCTGGGCAGGGAGCCCGATGCAGGGCTCCATCCCAGGACCCTGAAATCATGACCTGAGCCGAAGGCAGACAACTCAACTGACTGAGCCACCCAGGTGCCCCAGTCACAGGGGTTTTAAATAATGGGAAACCTTGGAGCGTCTATGATCAAGCCTCAGAAATCACCATATTTCTTCAGCCCTCTGTTGGTTACATGTGTTTGCCTTATTCATCGTGGGAGGGGGCCACGCATGGGTGTGGATACCAGCAAGTGGGGCTCTTTGGGCACCATTTTGGAGGTTGGCCACCACACTGGGCGAACACTTTGATGGCTACCGTTGGCTACTCAACGTGAAGTCACGACAAAAACGGTGAACGTTTATTGAGCACATCCTGATATGCATGGTGCTATGCTAAGTACCAACGTGCTTAACCCGCATGACCGCCCTGTGATGGGCTGCTGGTGTCCTCCCCACCCCACAGATCAGAGAAGCTGGTTCAAGGTCATAGTCCGTAAGTGGTGAGGTTGGGATTAGAACTTCGGTCTTCTGGCTCCAGACCTGGACCTGAACCAGATTGCTGGCACCCAAACCCCCAACCCAGTCCCCTCTGCACCTGCAGGCAAGGAGGCACGTTTGTCCCAGGGCGTTGCTCTGGGGCCTTAACCCTGTTCCCTACCCCTTCTCTGCCCCAGGATGGTGGAGCATTGCCTGCACATGTTCGACCGTATGGTCATCTACTTCTTCATCGCGGCATCCTACGCACCCTGGTGAGTATCTCTGTATCCTCCCGGGCAGTGGTGCGGCGGTGGGGGGCCCTGGCCTGTCTTCCTCTCTCTGAATGTCTTCTCTTTGGCTGGGTCATCTGTTGACTCCCACACAAAAGCGTGTCGGTAAAAAGACGCCCTCTGCCCGTTCTCCTTCTGGAAGCAACTACTTAAGACCAGTTTCCTGGGTCTCTTTCCAGAGTTGTTTGTGCAAAGAGAGCCCCAGGTGTGTGCCCATAATACTGTAAATGCATCTGCGTTCATACTTTTCCTCTGGCTTCTACTGCAAAAGGAAGGGCACTATACAAACTGTGATTTGCTTTTGCTCTCTCGGTGATTTCGCCGGGGGCGACTCTCTGTAATTAGTACATTGAAGAATGCCGGAACGCCTGTCTTTTGTTTTGTTTTTCTACAACAGCATAACATTTCCTGGCCGTCCCCTGCTTGTAGATGTTTCTGGCATTGGGGCGCTCCGTCCCTTGGGTAGGAGAGACCTTGCCACAGTCCGTCTCCTTAGTACCCGCGCGTGGATGTGTTGGCTCGAATCCTAGGACGTTGCTAAGAGGCGGCTTTTTCTGACCTCCAGAAACAGTTTCATGTGGCCGAGTGGGTTAATTGGATGTGTGGGAGGAGGTAGACAGACAAAGGGGCTTGGTGACCAGTTTCCGGGCTGGGTCCATGGGAAAGTGGGACATGGGGCAAGGCAATGTAGAATCATTTGGTGGGTATTTTTCTTTGAATGGCTCTGGTTTTCACACCGTTTTCTGCAGAGCCCTCTAGGTCCCCAGAAGACCATGGAGGGGTGGGGGTGTGAATGACCGTGGGTTCCCCCATCCTTGCCTCAGTCAGGAAACCCCATATTTTAATGTTTGTTTTTGGTAGATTGGATTTATGTTTAAGATTCCTGAATACAGTCTTAAAGATTTTTTTTTTTTTAAGATTTTATTTACTTATTTGACAGACAGAGATCACAAGCAGGCAGAGAGGGGCAGGCAGAGAGAGAGGGGAAGCAGGGTCCCTGCTGAGCAGAGAGCCCGATGCGGGGCTTGATCCCAGGACCCTGAGACCATGACCTGGGCCAAAGGCAGAGACTTTAACTCACTGAGCCACCCAGGCGCCCTTATTCTTTTTTTTTTTTTAAGGTTTTATTTATTCATTTCACAGAGATCACAAGTAGGCAGAGAGGCAGGCAGAGAGAGAGGGAAAGGGAAGCAGGCTCCCCGCTGAGCCGAGAGCCTGACGTGGGACCCGATCCCAGGACCCTGAGAAGATGACCAGAGCTGAAGGCAGCGGCCTAACCCACTGAGCCACCCAGGCGGCCCCAGGCGTCCCTATTCTTAAAGATTCTTGAAAGCCTCTGAAGTAGCAGAGAGAGAGGAGCAGAAATATTTGTTTGAAATTCAGCACACCTTTTTTTGGGGGGGTTCATTTTCTTCTTTTAAAGTCAAGTTGAGATTCAGTGTGATATTTTAGTAAGCAGTGACTTGTGTCGTCGAGGCTCCCCGCAACCCCATCCCCGCCAGTCCTCCCATCCCTTCCTCTGCCCGTCCCCTCCGTCCCATTTTATACTGATTCTCCTTCCCACTGGCCTGTTTTGAGTCTGTTTGGAAAGCCTGTTAGAATGATCCTCACTGATGGTTCTTCCAAGTAATGGGTCGGTTTGTTTGTTTGTTTATTTATTTATTTATTTATTTATTTTACCTTTAAGCTTTCCACTTATACACGAACTTCTTCGTAATAACAATTGGACTCAGAGCCGATTGCTTTTTGGGGGACATGGGGGGTGGACAGAGGTTGTATATAAGACATTCTCATTGAAGAAATTCACTCCAGAAAAAAGTGAAAGGATCCTTTCCCCCCAACCACTGCCATCATCAACTGTCCCTTTCTAGAAGGATCTCCCGCTCCCCACCCGACAAGGGGCTCTGATCGGTGTCCCGCGCAGTTACACGTCTCTCTTCACATGTGCAAATAATGCCATCCTGTTACTCTCCCCTCGCTCCCCACCACCAAACCTAGCGACACGCCGGGAGATGTCCGCACCTAAGTACGGACTGGTCTCCTGTTTCCCAGCTGCTGTGACAATGTCACAGCATGGTGTATCTGGCAGGGTGCCTTTGGGGGACAGAAACCATACGATGATTTGAACGTGGCACATTTGGTATAAAGGACTCATCATAGAAGATTAGAGGAGGGGAGAATCGATTAATGAGCGTCAAACACAAAATCTAGAGAAGCCCGTAGTGACAGATACGAGGGACAGCTAAGACCAGGCCCGCCTCCATCCAGGGCAGAGATCCCCCCTCGTCGGAAAGGGCCTGGTCTTTGCCCATGGGGTGACAGAGAGGCTGCTGGAGGGGGCCGTGGGTGTGGCCTGCTGCTGTGGCCAAATGTTGGCGAGAGCTGGGCCCCTGCAGGTACCTGCCCCAGGGGAAGTGGCCTCAGCCCAGCAGCGCAGAGAGAAGCCTGCTCTCGGAAGCTGGTGGGAGAATCAGGAAGGAAGAGCCTTTTTCTCTAATCGTTGCTTATTGTTTCTGTCTGTTTCTCTGTCTGTCTTTCCACCCTGAGAGCCCACATCCCACTTGCAGAGCCATGGGGCCCAGGGCTGCTTTGGGATCTGTCTTCCCAGGAGGGGCTGGGCCCCCGGTAACCCCCCTCAGTCTGTGCCCTTGGCTCTCTCTCAGGCTGAACCTTCGGGAGCTGGGCCCCTGGGCCTCCCATATGCGTTGGCTGGTCTGGATCATGGCCTCGGTGGGCACCATCTATGTCTTCTTCTTCCACGAGCGGTAAGCCAAGGCTGGGGATGGGGCAGGGGATCAGGTGGGCTGGGCCTTCTCCCTGGCCTTGGGGAGAGGATGCCCCAAAACATGAGGGCACAGCTCTGCCCGGCATCCTGGGGTTCAGGCCCAGGGATGGCCACCAGAGCCACAGCCTGTAGGGTTGATCTGAAGAGGTTTTGAAAAAGACCTTGTAGGTTCCGTGTTACCTGTGTTCCCTAAGCTGGGTTTTTAGATGAGGGGAGAGGCTCCATTCTGCTGTATGAGGAAGGAAACAGAGCTATGGAAGCAAAAAGGAGTAGCTGACTTCTGGAATTTCCAGGGAGGGCAAATCTGTCAGCCAGTGCAGCCACTCGGACGGATGGAGGGCAGCTGCCTGGGCCTGGCGGGGAAGAGGTCCTGGGATCCCATAGTGATGACAGCCCCTGGCCGGAGCTGTGGCAGGGGCCCGCACATGCGCTATACTTAGCAGGGACAATCCTGGCCTGTCCTCCCACCGATGGAGACCAAGTCCCAGAGGGAAGGACAGCCGCCCAGGGCCACCCAGCTCTGCCAGCACCTGCCGCGTGTCACGGGGTAAAGTCAGAGCCCGGGAGGGCTGGGCAGAGGGCGGCGTTCCTCTCACTCTTTTGGTTGGGGTGTCCCCTCCTACCCAGAACGGGGAGCTGTGTGCCGTTCCTCCTGGGGAGGCTGTCCCGAGGCCCAGATGGCTTGTCTTCCTGCCAGGTACAAGCTGGTGGAGCTGCTCTGCTACGTCGTCATGGGCTTCTTCCCCGCCCTGGTCATCCTCTCAATGGTGAGTCCCACCCACCCGGCCAGGGGTCTCCCAGCGGGCTGGAGGGACCCCGAGTGACTCTGGGGATGGCCGTGTCTGAGCCCCGCCTCTGGTGCCTGGGCAAGCAGAGGCCTTAAGAAGTACTCAGTAGAGCAGAGAGGCTAGCTCTGGGGACCTCGACTCCCTGGCCTTGCAGGGTCTGACCCTGCCTAACCTCCAGGGAGCACGGCGACCCTCCCCGCGTCAGCCCCCGTCCCCCCCGCATCAGCCCTCATCCCTGTGTCAGGCTCCCTGTGTGTTTAAGGATTCGATAGGAAGACCTACGGACAGCGAATAGGACGGTGCCTGGGACTTAGTAAGTCCCAAGTCCCTGGAGATGGACATGAGGTCCTGTTCATGACAGCCTGGCTGGCCTGCGCGTGGGGGCTGCCCCTGAGTGGCTGAGCTGAGATTGGCCCCCACCACCACTGACTGCAGGGACGAGGATCTTTGGGCCGCTCTGCCTGGGCCCGTGAGGGGCAGAGCCCAGGCAAAGAAGCTGCTGGGTGGGCCACACGTGGACCGCCTCACCTCTGCCAGCCTCAGTTGTCCCATCTGTCAAGTGGGCACAGTAAACTCACCAGCCTGGCACCCTCCCCGAGTTTATTACCTTATACAGTGGTTATTGGGAGGTGGTAAAATTATACGTCGTCAAGTTTAGCAGGGGTTTTGTGTTTTTAAACATTGTATAGCTTTACAAACCTAAGCGGTATGGTTAGGAGGGTCTTCTTTCTCCAAGTTCCCGTAAATATTTACCTGTGTCTTCTCCTGTCTCTCTTGTGGTTTAACCTTCCCACTGTAGTTTCTCCTGGGCGCAGTGATCCGTCCCCGAGCCCCTAGCTAGTGATGTCAATTATCTGTCGTTTCCATGAGCTTCTTTGGTCACACGTTTAATTCACATGTAGATGTGGGTCTCCCTCCGATATTTCAGTTCTGTTTCCCCTAGGGGCCTGTCTCTATCCTGACACCAAACTGTTTTACTTAATGTAGCTTAATTATGTTCTAATCTGTGGCCCCGTCATTTCGTCTGCTCAGCATTTTCCCAATGATATGTATTTATTCTCACAGACTGCCTTTTCCCCTCCAAGTTCATTTTTATTTAAATATGTATATTTATCTATTAGGCTGTATAATATTAAATCAAATATTATATTATTGTATCTATATTAAATATTTAAAAAATTTTAAAGTTAAAAAATATTTAAATTTATTTTTTTAAAAATTAAAAAATTTTCTGATTATTTAAGTTAAACTTTATATAATTTACAGTAAACAAATATTAAAGTTTTAAAATTAAAAAAAATTTTTTTTTAATTTTTAAAAAATTTATAGGGCACCTGGGTGGCTCAGTGGGTTAAACCTCTGCCTTAGGCTCAGGTCACAATCTCAGGGTCCCGGGATCAAAGCCTGCATCGGGCTCTCTGCTCAGTGGGGAGCCTGCTTCCCTACTCTCTCTCTCTGCCTGCCTCTCTGCCTACTTGTGATTCCTCTCTCTGTGTCAAATAAATAAATAAAATCTTTAAAAAAAAATAAAATCTTTTAAAAAATAAAATCTTAAAAAAAATCTTTACAATATTTTTAACATTTAAAAAATTTAAAACACTTAAATGTATTTTTAAAAAGGTTTCAAAAATCTGTGAAGAGTATTTAAAAAATAAATAAGTATGCTGTCATTTAAATGAAAAATGTTTAATTTCTTTAAATTTTAAAGAATTCACTTAAATTTATTTTAAAAATCTTATGAATTATATTAAACCAGCTAGTGTAATATCTTGAAATTTTAAAGCAATTTAAATTTAAAAAATTTTTAAAAATTTTATGAAATATATTAAATATTACATTATATAATTTATGTTAGATAAATATTTTTAAAAAGTTTAGACTTTTAAAAAATTCTTTGAAACTTACTTAAAAATGTATAAATTTTAGGGGCGCCTGGGTGGCTCAGTGGGTTAAGCCACTGCCTTCGGTTCAGGTCATGATCTCAGGATCATGGGATCGAACCCCGCATCGGGCTCTCTGCTTAGTGGGGAGCCTGCTTCCTCCTCTCTCCCTGCCTGCCTCTCTGCCTACTTGTGATCTCTCTCTGTCAAATAAATAAAATCTTTAAAAAATGTATAAATTTTATAAATTACATGAAATAAGTACTAAGTTATACAATATCCATCAAACGATGTATTACATATATTTAAGTACATATATATACTTCTATATAGTCAGGGTATAGTTAAATACACAGTCCCTGCAAAAAATAAGTCTGAAAATGTGTGAAGGAGCCAAGGCCCCCGTCCCCCTCCTCCCCAGTATGGTGCCCCAGCTGCAACCACCGTTCAGTTTGTCTGTCCTTTTCATTTATTTATTTATGTGCAAATCGAGGTGGCCATGCAGACTTACGGACTCCGGACTCCATTGTTCCTCTTCTCTGCGACCTGCTTTCCTCCCTTAGTGTGTGCCGTGGGTGCGTCTCCATGACCGCCACGTGCAGTCCTGCCTGCCTCCTTTGCTGGTGGAGGGAGCAGGAACGGGGAGGGCCTGGGTCTCCTGGGTCATTAGTGCTCCAGTATGACTCTCTCGAGGACCGAGGGCATCCGTGTCCGCAAGGATGCTGAAATACGGTGGAGCTGTTCAGAAGCTGGAGGGGGCTGTCCCTGTGAGACGCGGACGGGTCCCCCCACAGGGCAGTGACCCAAGGTGGAGTTGCAGCGTGGAGGGGATGGTGAAGGAACCCCTTTTTCTGGAACAGTCCGTTCCTGTGCCTCGTACATCCACCTGCAGTGCCTAGCATGTGTTTCTAGAAGGATACCGTCAGCAGTGGGAGCCTGTAACAGGTGTATGGGCGGCCCCGGGGAGATGGGGGGCCGGGGGGGGCGATGGTGTAGCAGGTTCTCCTCGCTCAGTCTCTGCCATTCCCTTTAACCACGAAGCATTCATGTGGGTGTTAACAGCGCTCATCTCTGACAGCAAGGACGACTCCTTTTTTCTTAATGTTTTTTGTTTGGTTCCTTTATAATTCTTCCTCCCGGACCTGTATTCCTTTTAAGAAAGTTGTGATACAGTATACGTAAAACTTGGCTGCTGTGCACTCGGAATAGTCTTCGAGATTTTGATAGAAATGGTAACATCTGAGAATTAAGTTGGAGAGGATAGACAACATGCGTCGAGACTTCCTACCCAGGCATCTGGGCTGGCTCGCCATCCACGCCTCTTTCCGTTTTGGGGTGTGGGAGAGTAGCGGGAGGGGGCTCTCAGCTTTGATGGCTGCCTCTCTGACCCGTGCCCCACCCTTGTCCTTCCCGACAGCCCAACACCGAGGGCATCTGGGAGCTGATGACCGGAGGGGTCTTCTACTGCTTGGGTATGGTGTTCTTCAAGAGTGACGGGAGGATCCCTTTTGCCCACGCCATCTGGCATCTCTTTGTGGCCTTCGGGGCTGGTACCCACTACTATGCCATCTGGAGGTACCTCTATCTGCCCAGCACCCTGCAGGCCAAGGTGTCCAAATGAGGCGGCCCAGACTGCACAGGGTCGGAGCATCGCGAGAAGTGTTTCTATGAACTCTGGTCCAGAGCACGGCTCCCAGGCCCATCTGCACGTCCACGGGCAGAGTTTTGATGGGTCGGAGGCTACTCCTGGGAACAGCCAGAATGTCCTTCGGGTCCCAGGTGAGGAAGAAAGCATGTAGTCATTTTGGCAGAGAAGCCATTAACCCTGTAACGTGTTTCTATTCTAGGCAAGTGTTTCCTAATTCAACCAACATTAACATCCACAGAAAAGGGAGCAGACATTGTCCTGGCAGACTGGGAGACCCTGGGCCCGTGTGGGAGTCGGTGGAGTAGTTTGTACCCCACTGGCCAGGGCCTCCTCTGCGACCAAAGTCCTGGCTGGGGGATTGTGCCCTGTTCAGGGAAGAGGTCACCCAGCCTGTAGATCAGGGATGGTGAATATCCGTGTCCGTAGCAGACATCACCAATCAACTGCAGCACGGCGCGGAATCAGGATTCTCCTCCGGGAGGGGCTCTGGGCGGCCACGAACCTATGGACTCATCACTCACGATGGCACCCCTTAGACTCTCCTGTCCAGTGTGCCCTGCCGTGGGAGCATGGCCAGACCATGTCGGGGAGCCTGCTTATCTCCTGCTGGGGAAGCTCCCGGGGCAGGCCGTCTGGGGGGCAGTGAAGGGAGACCGAGGCAGACAGCCCGAGCAGCCCCTGGCTTTCTGCTCCGCATAGCTGCCTCTCAGAACAGAGGAGGAGTGAGTGGTAGGGGATGAGGAAGCTGTTACTTGGCCGTTTCTTCTGCTGAAAAAATCCAGAGAAAGTATTGGAGCCATTCGTTCTGGGGGGTCTTGCTCCCCTGCTCCAGATTTAGGGCTTGTGATGCCAGCATTCGGATTCTTGCTTGGTGCTGAGCAGCAGCCCTTGGAAGCTCCTCTGATGAGCCCTGAAGGGAAGGCCTGGCTAGTTTGATAGGGATTTGGGCAGCGCGTCCCCAGTGTTGGGATACCCCTACCTCTCAAGCCGCTAGTGGCCCCATGACAAGGCTTCCAGGGACCTGTCCTCAGAGCGTCCCCCTGGGCCTGGGCTGGCCCCTCTGTAGCTGATGCTTGGACATTTACTGGGGAAGGGGATCCAGGCCAAGCTCCCAAGCTCAACGGGAACCTCGGAATCTCTGATCAAGCATCTGTCAAGGCAGACAGTCCTCAGCCTCCAAGACAGGACACCTTGTGCTTATTTCTAGTACATTCTAGTACATTCCAAAGTATTTCAGGGTTCCTGAAATCCCATGTACCGAAGCCAGTAGGAAATCATCAGACACGTTCCTTAGACAGACGGGTTCTGAGCTGACAGACTCTGGGGGTAAGCTTTGTCCTCTTGCCGTGTGTGTGTGTGTGTGTGTGTGTGTGTGTGTGTGTGTGTGTGTTTGTCTACACTGGCACACCCAGCCTCGAGAATCTGCCTTCATCCAGTCTGCCCACCGTCAGTTGGGATCAGGGTTGGAGGTTGGGGTGGGGAGAGGAAGTTTGTGGGGGAGGGCCCCCTAGAGAGGGGCTTGCCAGTGATGGGGGGACAGGGACACTGACCTGGGACTTCTTTATTGGCCCCAGAGCTGAGCTCCTTCTGTGACACTTGCATCTCCTTCTGCCCCCTCCTTTTGGCTACTTGATCTTGGATTTTCCCCAAGACAGCCTGCCCCTTTATGCCCACCTTTGGAGGTACTGGTTCACCCTCTCATCCACCCATCTTATTCCTACTCATCCTCCAAAGCCCTGCTCAGGCATCAGTATCGAGGGACTTCTGGCCTTCCTCTGACTTAGGGCTTCCCACCTACTTCCCATCACCTCCCCTCCACCCCGCCCCCATGCTTACCTGCATCGAGGCTCGGAGCTCTATCCTTCATCACCCTGGTCTTTGCACCTGCCTCCCACCCCGGGAGCTCTTTAAGGGATGAGCTATGTCTTGCTGGACTTGACATCCAATCTGGCTGCTTCTGTTTGTAAGGGCTTGGGCAAGTTCCTTAACCTCAGCTCTAAGATGGGGATAGTAAGGCAGCACCTTGCAAGTTTGCTTAAAGATTCGGTAGGGTAATGAATGTGAAATACCCAGCCTGGTATTCTGATTAGCTCCTTTAGCTGTCCTTGGGAAGCAGCCTTTGAAAATGAAGATGACCCTCGTCCAGGAGTGTCAGCTGTGCTGGCCAAAGGAGTGAATCACTAATGGTGGAATTTCCGACTGTGGACAGGCTGGTGAGGACACTGCTGTAGGGCCGTGACCACGTTCCTTCCCCTTGGTCCAATTCAGGATGTTTCCCACGAACCTTTTCTCTTCCTCAGCATCATTGTGAAAGTGAGTTTCCCAGCATTCCATTTCACCCAAACCTAGGCCCTGGACCTCCCCCAAAGTGTGTCACCAGCAGTGCAGGGAAGGAAAAGATGTTCCTCAGGCCAGTCCCTCCTGTGGGTAAGTGTTCCAGTCTGTGCGCTGGGCAGGTGGGGTGGAGAGGGCAGGGTACTGGGAACTCAGATGCCAGCTCCCTCTTCCTGGCCACTTTTGAGGCTGTCACATGCTAGAACGATCCTGCAGAGTAGCTGTCATGTCCCAGGGAACCAGGGGGGAGGTCAGAAGGACTCTTCCATGTTCTGGGCTCTTCTGTTGCTGCTCCTGAGTTAGGCGGGCTGGGGGACAGGCCTTGAGGTGACAGCCTGCTTAGCGAGTCCCCTGGCCATCATGAGGGCCAGCCAAGGCAGGTGCGCTGGCTGGTGGAGAGTCCTGCCTGCCAGCTGGCAGGCTATCCCTGACAGGCCCTGAGGGGAACTTGCTGATGGCTGTCCCCGGAGCCAGCAGCTTTCAGGCCAGTGGGCTTTAAGCCAACATCACAGACCAGAGCTGCCTTTTTCCCTTGATTGGAAATCGTGCATATGGTAGGAAGAGGGCTGAGCGTCTCCTTTCAGGCTCAGGCTGGGGAGGATCCTAGGAAAGCACTGGGCAGGGATGGGGGCAGGATGGGAGTTGCGAGGGGGCCTAGATGGAGGGCCCAAAGCCAGGCTGGTGGTGGGCGGGGGCCCAGCACAGTGGGGTGGCCTGGAGGGCTTCCTGAAAATGCTGCCCTTCTGGGTTTTCACCGCACCAGGCTCTCCTTTCCAAATTCCTCTGCAAATGCTGCGGTGCTTCCGCTGAGCTCCTGCATTTGGGGTCAGGCCCCTGCTGGAAAGCAGGGGTCGGGGACAGCTCAAGTGCTAAGAGAGGCAGGTAGAGCTCAGAGGTCTGGGAAATGAACCTAGAGACTTAGTCAAGAAGGCAATGGTCACCTTCGCCCCCACATACTGCACGACCAGATGCTGAAAGGTGGGTTCTGGGAACCACATTGCAGGGTTCCGAAAGAACCTGGGGCCGTCCCACGTGAGTACGCAGACGCATACCCTCACAGGTATGGTGCAGCTCAGGTGTGAGGGGAAGGAGCAGGAATCTGGGGTGGCAGAGGCTTTACCCAAAGGGCGCCCCTCCCGGGGGCCGGTCTCTGTGCTGGCGGCTTCCTAGACGTTCTTGTCCACTGGTTGACAAAGTCCCCTCTGCGGGGTAAGGTCCATTCGCTGATCTTACAGAGCGGGAAGCCAGAGCACAGAGAAGTTTGGCGACTTCCCCAAGGGCACCCAGCGTCCAACCAGCAAAACCAAGCTTTGAAGCCAGGACTATCTAATCTCCAAGTGTCAGGTCCCACGGCCGCACCACCTGTTTCCAAGGACACCCACTGCCCCCACGTCTGTCTTCCAAGGAGGAATGCTGGGCTGAACATTCTTAAGAATTTCAGAAACAAAACAAAACACTGGTGTGTAGCATTTGCTGATTTTCGTGGCATAAATGTTCCCATGGCTGATTTCAAGCCGCTGAAGTGACATCACGGAAGAGGTCTTGGGAGGGGATGCCCCTGTCTGGCCCTTGAAGGCCCGCACGGGCCCGTCTGGCACACCACTAACCCCACGGCTTCCCTCACTTCCCAGATTCTCACGGAGCTAACCTGGGGTCCCTGGGGTTCCTGGAAGGAGGGGGAGTGGGCCTGGCACTGGGCTGCCCAGATGCTCTGTCTGGGGGGTCTGGAACCTGGAGCCAGGCAGACCTGCTCAGGGTCCAGCCCTACACGGGCCAGCTTGCCAGACTCTCAACTCCCTCGGGTCTGGCCGGGGAGCCTCTGCAGGGGTTTGCTGGACCCCAGATCCCATCTGCCACCCGCCTAGGACTGCTGCTGAGCCAGTAGATCAGGGTGGTGCTCTGGAGTCTGGATGCCGGTTCCAGAAGCCCCACTCTGGAGCTCATCTACTTGGAGGCCATGCCCCGCATGTCAGTGATGGGGTTCCCGAGTCAGAGTCCAGAGGACAGACTCGTGTCCAGGAGCGAAGGACCTAACCATGGCTCTTGCTTTGAGCTATCTCTTTCTCACTTCGTTTCCGACATTCACAAGGTAGGAAATTCACAAATACCCCTTAGCAGCCTGTGTTTCTACACGGGCCATTCCTGAAGTTGGGCTCGATCCCTAATGTTTCATAAGCTCCGTGCCAAGCCCTGGGATTTGTGTTGTCTTTACAACAACTCTGTGAAGTAGGGAGGATCCCCTTTCATCAACTTGGAGACTGAGGCTCAGAGAAGTTAAGTAACTCATCCAAGGGCACACAGCGAGTAAGTGGCAGCCGTGGGCTCTCCCCCACTCCACTGTCTGCTCCCTAAAACACTGGCAAGTCCGTTTTAGGGTTCCCAGCCTGTGGATAGCTGCTGCTGACATGCCGGTGGGCATGTCAACTGGTCTGTGTGCTCTGACCGGTTATACTGAAGGTCTGAGGCTTTGTTCACTAGTCCTCTGTTCAGGTCCGTGTTGGAAGCACTGACAGAAGCTTCCACTCAGGCTTTCAAAAGAGGCTGATCTGGGAGAACGTGTAGCCATATGGCATGGCTCCTAGTGGCCGGGAGGCCGGCAGGAGTGGTGCCGCCTCCATCCCTGGGCTTACTCCCAGGAC